CATTATCATCAATTGGTTCACGAGGCATAGACAGTTCTTTTATTAAACCTTGCACTTTTTCAGATTCCATGGATTTCGTTTTACTTTGGGGGATAGCTCTACCGTCGTCTACAGATAATTTACTTACCTCTCCTGTTAGATTAGAGGTTTCTTCACTTTCACCTTCCACTGCCTCTGTCATATCTACGTCCTGAACTTCAGCTGACGCCGGTCCTTCATTATCTACGAAACAAATGGGGCAAGTTTTTTGCTTATCTCTGTTACTTTTTTCAAGGCAGTCGTGATGGAGAGTATGACCACACACTAACATAGTAAATGCTTTAGGCGGATTTAAAAAAATTTCTTCGTTATATTCATGACAATTCTCTAGCTCTGGTATTCTAATATCGTTTGCAAGAGAATTTGGATAACTTTTTAGGATATTTATTCCTAAGGATTTTAATAACTCTGATCGTTTGGGGTATTTTTTAGCAAGTTCTCTTTCGCTAAGTGGTTCAAGACTCATAGTATAGAATATGCTGAGCTGGTTTATGAAGAAAAAAATTTTCTTATCATTTTACTCTTACCTGACTATATACTATTTTCACATTGTCCGGGATTATTTGCTAGATAAGAGCAAACGGATATAATATCCAAATCATTACAATTACCCGAATTTTAGTCAGATAAGTATTTGCAATTTATTATTAACTTATCCCGTTATATAATATACTCCTCGTTATTAACAAACCAAATTTAGATACTATGAAAACTAATTTCGGATTTGGCGATCTGTTCATTCACGAATTATTTAGTATAAGAGGATCGCTCGATCTTCGCTGGCAATCACAGATCGTCGAGATTGTTGACCCCCATAGATTTGCAGTTAAATCACATGCTCTTATCTGCGGATATAATTCACATGAACAATGGCCTCTTATTACTGCGAAGAAATATAGGTGATGTTTAATGTGCATATTCGAAAAAAAGAAATATTAATTTAGTCTATGCGGTTCACCTGAGCATCACATTGCTGAACCGCAAAACTTAACTAAGAAATCGAAAATTTTAGACAAAGGTTTTTTAATCCCAAACTCTTCTATATGCTTTTCATTATTAGGTGATAATCCAATAAGGAATTTTTCTTTAACGTCTATATCATCTAAATTCTTGCCAATACTAATAGCATATAGCTTTATCATTTTAATGTATTCACTCACAGAGCTATCACCTTGTGTAGGAGCTGGTACTTTATCTTTTTCGGGTTCTAAAACTGGAGAGCCTGGAGGGGATGACCGATCTACCCAATTAATAGTATCTCTTATAAACATATCACTAAATGATCCTCTCATTATTATGTTTATAATAGACTATTTTTTTAATTAAAAGTTTTCCCAAATACCGCATCACTAATCACTGCTTTGAACTAGTACTCTTCTGATTCTGTATCGCCTATAGCGTAATTATCACCCGCATCAAAGCGGTCTGATTCTTGCCTTATTGCGATTCTCGAAAGCAGTTTAAGATGTTGGGGTGTTGGTTTCTTACCACCATGGATTCTGGAAGCGTGTTTACTTCCATAATCTCTTAATTTTTTAGGTATGGTTCTATAAGGTTCTTGTTTTAAGAACTTGTTAAATGGCCAAGCATTACGTGTTCCTTTTCCAGTAAAGACAGGGTCAGATAACTTTTTAGCCTTAATTGCATCTTGAATCCAAGTAAGCAATTCTCTGGCGCGTTCCGGGTTCTTCTCCATGGAAAGAAATGGTCGGGGCTTGGGATTTTTTTTCTTCTCTCCTCTACTTTTTAAATAACCTGTGCAATACCAAGAATAGCCATCTTTGTACCATGCTGGAATGTTTGAATGATCCGGTTCATAGTGATTAATTCGAAGAGATCTTACTTCTGCAGGTCTCATACTCAACATCACAATTATGTCTACGAGATCCTCTCTAGTAGGAATTTTGGAAATATCCATGTTCTGAATCCTTTTACTCACATTTGCTAAGGAGAAATGTGTGGGAATTCTATCCGGATTAGCCATTCGTTTCATAGTTTGCTTTTTCTGAATTTTATTTGACTCTTGAATAAGTTTTGGATCTTTGGCATAGGTATTAATAATTTTAGGACTTACCCCAGCTTCTGCTAACTTCACACGGAATTGTGATTGGCGTGAACCGCTGGCGACTATTTCATTTTCATAATTAT